TCCAAACTACGAACGTATTATCTCATCAAGCATTCTCGTTGCTGCTAATCTCAGATCAGACCGTGGTATTTTAGGACACTTGGTTCGTCACTTACAGAAAATTACAAACTCTTTCGATATTCAACATTTTACGAAACGTTTCTCGCTTCTCTCGAAACCGTGTATCGCGGGATTTCATTGTTTTCGTCGGCGACGAATTACGCAACACAGGAAGTTTCTCAAGACTTGTTGAAACTTATTTTTTTAAGTTAACGTGCAATTATGCGTGCATTATCCATCTCCACTCGAAAAGAGAGCCTCGACAAGACGTCAATATTTCTTGACACGCACAATTTCTCTGGAGATGGTAAAACAAACCAGCGAGATCGCACTTGACGAGAGGTTGATGCTGCTTGGTCCACGCGACTGATGAGATTCGCGAGTCGAGCAGATTGTGCGATAACGATAAAATTTAGTTTCTTCTTTTTTTTTTTTCTCGAATCGACTCTATAATTTCACGATTCATCGTCGAGTTGTTAGCGAAATTGATTCGAGAGAGAAGACTACTCCGAATGCTGAAAGCTCGTATCTCACTTGATTTCGCCGCGTCGAGTGTGAGTAACGGCCGGGGGGAACTGTTGAACGATGATGTGGAGAGCAGAATAATAGTAGGTCAGAATGACCCTATAAGCAGGCTCGAAAGCCGAGATCACGTGCGGCGTGTACCACGTGCTTGGTGCACGTGCTCGCCGTGTGTATAAACGATCGTCACGGCGTATAAACGGAATCACGGAGGAAGCAAGAGAGTCGCGGTTGTACGAGTTAATACCGACGAAGGAAAAGTGTGACCGAGTCACGTGCACGCGTCGGCCACTCGCGTCTCGATTCACGCGACCGTGCGACCGGCCGCGCGCAACTCGCAGCCCGTCCTGTCAATTAACGACGCGTCTTCGCCGCTCTTCCACAAGGCTGCCGTGAAACTCGTTTCGGCTCCGAGACGCGCGTATTTCTAAAAATATACCACAGTCGCTTCGTTTCGTTCGATCGAACAGTTTGACAGTCGTTCGAGAGACATTTACATATGTACGGTGAGAGTAATACGAGCAGAACTGAACACGCGCGTGGAATTATTAACATTTTGTTCCAGCAATTTGCACGCGGAATGCAGAGAAGAAAGTAAAATAGTGTAGTTTCCTCGACAAAATTTTACCACCG